TTCATCGTAGACCAAATAAATGTTCTAGATGAACTTGATTATACTGGAATTAGCTTAGATAAGAAACAACAAACTAGAGAAAATCTTGATAAAATGGTTGATAACCATTATTATATTATGAGTTCTTCAGCAAACAACAAAACCATGTTGCATCTTATTCAAAAGCAGACTTGTGAACTGAAGATCAAGCTTTTTGGAGGGTTCGATGAGGTAAGGCTAAGAAATTTTCTTTATATTGTGTATTTACGTAATATTCATTTAGGAGGAGATGAAAGAATGGTGGAGTAAACATAATCCCGATTTGCCAGCAATGGATAAACAGCAGATAGAACAAATCGAAGACATCACTGGAAAAATTCCGCTTTTCTTAAAGTTCTTGCTAGAATCGGATCACAAGAATTTTACAGATGCATTAGAACATCTAAATCAAAAATTAAATTCAATAATACAATTGCCAATGATAGAATTTTCGGATAATCTACTATGTATATTTTAGTTTGATTTGTAATCAGTAATTTACATGATGCTAACTTCTCTATTTAATAGCCACATTCGGGTGATGTCATCATTCCTGACAAATAAAAGACCTCCACTTTGTTATGGTGAAAACGACTATGATCATCGCTATTTATATATTGACAATGATACTTGCTATTACGTCTGTGGGTTTGTATGGTAGATTATCTTTTTGAAAAGTAGAAAAGGGATGTCTCGCTAGCATTTGTAGGAATGGAATTACAGCAAATAAAATAAATTTCAAGGTAGATGGTCATCAGTTTTTTTCCACTTTAGGAGACATTAATTTTTCTTGGCAAGAGGGGTTTTGTACCTTTTACTTGCTACGTAAATGGAACCAAAAGTCAATAGACGGATTACTTGTCCTTTACAGGACAGGTACTTTGTATATTGCACCAGTTCAGATTACCTTTGACAAGAAAAATCATTCAGATTCTGAAGGAGCCTTTTTTTCTGAGATTTGGCCAGAATTGAAATCAGGGATAAATAACTTGAATGTGGAAATAATTTTCATATGGATTACACAAAAGAATGAAGCTGATGTTGAAGTGGCAAGGAAGGTTATAAGAAGAACTAGAGTTTCAAAGTATAAAAAAGAGGTTGAAATTAATCCTGATTACACATCAGTAGTAGCAGGATTTGCAAACATCAATAGAGATATTTATCGATATACACTACCCTATCAAAAGTATCTGGTGTTAGTGACAGTCTAGTTATGACGCATTAGTACTGCGCCAATTATAATTAGCGAATGATGATCCCATTGATTATGGATCTCAACTTTCTCTAATTTCTATGATTTCTATGATTTCTCTAATTTCTTAGCGATCTTAGCGATATATAATTTCTTATATATCTTTAATTTCTTATTTATATTATATTTCTTATTTTTCTTTACTATATTAAATAAATATTTCATATTGATGTATTTTATATAAATATCTTGTATTTCTGCCTCAATAAATGGTAGAGTCGTTAGAATTCTCTAATAAATCAATAACATTTATCTCTTAACAATTATATCTTTGCTCAATATACAATTTCATACTTCTTTAA